AATTCTGTGTCCAGGGCGGCTGTCTACCAGCTCCATCTGGTACGCAGGCTGAGACCCTACCTGCCCGTGGATTGTCTCGCCAGAGTGGTGCATGCTCTAGTTATCTCCCGCTTGGACTACTGCAATGCGCTCTACGTGGGGCTACCTTTGAAGGTGACCCGGAAACTGCAAATAATCCAGAATGCGGCAGCTAGACTGGTGATTGGTAGTGGCTGCCAGGACCACATAACACCAGTCCTGAGAGATCTGCATTGGCTCCCAGTACGTTTCCGAGCACAATTCAAAGTGTTGGTGCCAACCTTTAATGCCCTAAATGGCCTCCGTCCTGTATACCTGAAGGAGCATCTCCACCCCCATAGTTCGGCCCGGACACTGAAATCCAGCGCCCAGGGCCTTCTGGCGGTTCCCTCATTGTGAAGTTACAGGGAACCAGACAGAGGGCCTTCTCGGTAGTGGCACCCGCCCCGTGGAATGCCCTCCCAGCAGATGTGAAGGAAATAAGCAGCTATCTTATCTTTAAAAGACATCTGAAGGCAGCCCTGTTTAGGGAAGTTTTTAATATTTAATGCTGTATTGTTTTTAACACTCGATTGGGAGCCGCCCAGAGTGGCTGGGGAAACTCAGCCAGATGGGCGGGGTATAAATAATAAACTATTATTATTATTATTATTATTATTATTATTATTATTATTATTATTATTATTATTATTATGTCTTCTGCTTGTACAATGCAACTCCTCCCCGTACACCCCCAAACTCTGTTCCTCAGCCCTTCAGAGCAGATTAGTGATGGTGCATGGCACTGCTGAGTGGGGTTGATGAGGGAAAGTCCCATTGTGCAAGTGGAAGCCATTCTGCTCATGGATTTTCCTGGATTCCTAAATGCCTGATACCTGCACCCAGGAATCGAACTATTACTTTAGCCTAGTGCAGTGGCCCAATGTCCCAGCATTCAAAGCTCTAGAATCGAAGCAGTTTTCTCACCCTAGGTGGCCAATGACCCAGTTTACTCCTAGGAATTTACAGCTATCCCTTCCAATGCCTGGGAAAGCTCAAAAGCCAGTTCCAGGAGATAGCCTCAAGTGACTAAGAAATATTATATAAATTATATTTATGTAAGTCTTATATAAATAAAAGCTCTTATATAAAAGTATTAATAATAGAGGTGCCGGCCAGTCCTGGTTTATTTGTTGGGCTGTTGTCGTTGGTTTAAAAAAAACACATCCAAAAAATTAATAAGCAATTGAGTTTCGTGGACTCTTAACACACTTCTCTTTGTGGCCTACTTGCAGCCTGCTGAGACCTCATTTTTATGCAATAGATCCAGGCGAGGCTCTGATATATAACCCACTGTGAAGGAAGAGCCTCAGGACATGAAGGACTAAACACACACTTACTGGAAATGCCTTCCCTTTTGACCAGTTGGACACATGTGGTAAGCAGGTCGATTTGGGGTAACCCAGTACCAGGCAGTAATTTGTGTGTGCGTGTATATATCTGTTTGTGTTACATGTTGCCTGCACTTTCGGTCTCTGTTTGAATAGGATTGTTTGGACAGCGCCGTCACAAAGGGCTGGAGTCTGATGAACGAGGGGTCACACTGTCCAGCCAACCCGTTATTTCGGGGCCTGGCATGATCTGCCCCATCGCTATCAGCCCCAAGCAAATAAAAGGGATTTCTTCATCTCTCTTTCATCACAGGGCATCAGCAACAGTCGGAATAGTTGTGCAATTAGATGCTCCAGAAATCTAACAGGGATAATGGGGAACATTCAACTAGTGGTTTTATCTTCTTCACAGAACATTTGTTGAGGTTGTGTGGGGGCACCAGCAGATGGGTGGGATTGCTAACCATCCACAATCCTGACTGCTCGGTCCTGAGACCCTGGTTCTGCACTGCACCATTCCATCAAATGCAGCCTTCCCAAATGTGAGAAAGAGTTAGTGACATGACTCTTTCTCTCCTAATTGCTACCCTCCTTCTGGTCTGTGAGATGACTGAGTGGGAAACAGAACTACTGTATTTTTCGCTCTATAAGACGCACCTAGTTTTTGGAGGAGGAAAACAAGAAAAAAATATATTCTGAATCTCAGAAGCCAGAACAGCAAGAAGGATCGCTGTGCAGCGAAAGCAGCAATCCCTTCTTGCTGTTCTGGCTTCTGGGATAGCTGCGCAGCCTGCATTCGCTCCATAAGGCGCACACACATTTTCCCTTACTTTTTAGGAGGGAAAAAGTGAGTCTTATAGAGCAAAAAATACGGTATCCACTTGCATACCAGAGCAGAAAAATGTGCTGGCCACGTTTCTCAATGTCACAGCCCCACGTGGATGGAGCCTCTGACCCACAAACATTTCTTTTAGAAGCTTCCACAATGAGGGAGGGATAGCAATGTTGGAATTAGCTCTGAATATCAACAGGGGACCATTTCGGTTTGGATGACATTTTAATGTGAAGCTGCCTTAAAAACTCCACGGTTCTCCAAGTGAATAATGTGCACAAAAATGTATGCACTGCTGAAAATAATGTACCAAGATGCATTAAATTGGAGGGAATCGCTTGGCAAAATTGTGTATAAAATTGCATAAAAATGTAAATATTAGAAATGCACGTTAAAGTGTTGATTGGTTTTGATGGGATTCCCCCCCCCCATCTTCAATTGATGTGGAAATGTGGAGAACTGGACTGATGCTTGGGAACATTGAACAACTGAAAGAAGCCAAAGGTGACACATTCATTCATCCCACGCCTTGAAAAACCCTGCATTCACACAAATTCCCCGTTATATGAGTCTTTGGTTGCAGGCCACATTGGCAGTTCTGACTGTGTTTCCCCTTGGTTTTGAGTCAAGACTTGCTACTCCATCCTGAGATGTGCACTACAATCCAATGCATGTCTGCTAGGAAGGAATTCCCATTGTGCTCAATAGGACCTACTTTTTTATACAGGTGTTTAGGCTGCAACCCTAAACCCACTTAAAGGTAAAGGGTAAAGGGACCCCTGACCATTAGGTCCAGTCGTGGCCGACTCTGGGGTTGCGGCGCTCATCTCGCTTTATTGGCCGAGGGAGCCGGCGTACAGCTTCCGGGTCATGTGGCCAGCATGACTAAGCCGCTTCTGGTGAACCAGAGCAGCACACGGAAACGCCGTTTACCTTCCCACCGGAGTGGTACCTATTTATCTACTTGCACTTTGACGTGCTTTCGAACTGCTAGGTTGTCAGGAGCAGGGACCGAGCAACGGGAGCTCACCCCGTCGCGGGGATTTGAACCGCCGACCTTATGATCAGCAAGTCCTAGGCTCTGTGGTTTAACCCACAGCACAACGCACTTACAAGGGTGCAAATGGCAATATTATTATTATTGTGTTTGCCGCCCTGATAATAATGTTAATAATGAATGAATGAACAAACACAGTGGAATTTACTTCTAAGTAACATGCCATTGGGCTGAACGATTCATTCCCTAGTCATAACTAAGATAATGCCCTTGATTCAAGTGCCAACATATAGAATAAAAAATGAATGATCTCATGCAAGTGAGATTTCAAACAAGCCTGAATGGTAATGGCTTGTAGCTGGATAATTAACAAAAGCAGCACATGAAGGCTGTTGAAAGTAGTTGCAATTTTATTTTATTTTTTACCAAAAAATAAAATAAAAAAAAATGAGATGAGAATCTAAATTACTTCTGCCAGCCTGTCAGGCTTTTCTGAGGGGAAAAATACCCTACTTAATAATAAAAGCTTAAGTGAGAAATGATAGATGCTTTTGATTACGAGGGGAAAGCAGCAGCAGCAGCAGCAGAGTTAATGCCGTGCTCTTCTCTGAACCTTAAGCGACCATTTTCTGTGAGTCATCAAGCTGGCAGACAAATTAGTAAAACTCCTTGAGAGAGACAGCCTCATCAATCGGAGTTTGCTACTCTTGCCTAGTTTTATATTGCGGTACAGATTAAGCAGCTGAAATGGCTCCATCTGTATACAATGAGGAATGAAAGGCCTGATCATTTTGTTCTTGAAAAGTGTAAGGGGGGGGGGCGGACGCCAAAGAAAAATGGTTCAAGCCAGCAGGGAACAAAGAGACGAATGTCAGAGGAGACAGAATGCCAAAGGAAGCGAAAACTAAGCAAGCATAAGACAACTGTGCTCTGTTATACCTGGGAGTGCCTCTGAAGGCAGTTTGGAAACAAAAGTTTGGGATATGGCTGCTAGGAGGCTGCTACACTGGCGTCACGCTGATCACATTGTGCCGGTCCTTTGCCAACTTGCCCTGGCTCCCAGCCTGCTTCCAGGCCCAGTTCAGAGCACTGGATTTGACCTTAATGACTCTTGTGGCTGTGCGTCAGAGCAGAGTACCTGAAGGATTGTGCTGTGTCCACATGCACCTGCTCATACTTTGGAATCAACCCTGGAGACATTCCTCTGGGCTTCCCTGCCAACTGAGGAAGGGCAGCAAGTTATGGGTGGCAGGTCCTTCTTCGTGGTGGCACCCTGGAACGCTTGCCTGGCATTTCTTTCCAGCACCAGGTGAAGGCTTCCCCCCTCCAAAACCTTTAAACTCATTCCTAGTCTCAGCATGTGTGCACATTTTCTGCTTTTTGTTCATTTTTCTATATTTAGTTATTCTAAACTTAAATAACAATAGCTTTGATTCCACAAGGTGTTTTTGTGGCCACTTGAACTACCTTTTGGTGAGGCTGAGAGAGCATAACAATGCATCATTATTTCCAAAGCACTTAACGTGTACTAGGCATGAAAATGTGAAAACAATTCATACCAAATCCTTGACCGCACTTACTAATGAAGTTTGAGACAATAGGCGTCAGAGAGGGAACAGAAAGACACTATGTCAGTGTTGAGCAGAAGGGAAGAAAACCGGAACGAAGAAAAGCTGCAAACCAATTACAATCCTATGCGTGTTCCCTCAGAAAGAAGCCCCGTTGAAAGAGGACCCTGAGGGTCAACAGGAATCTACCCCACTGTCCCGAAACCCTGGCCTACCTGGCAGCAAGTCAGGAAGTCAAGTCTGGGGTCATTCCATATTTCCGAAATCCAAACCGAACTCTTGCAGAGATCCTGGAGTCTTGCAGAGACCTCAGCTCAGCTTCCCTTTTGCACTTGATTGCAGCATCTGGGCTTGATGAGGCCTGTGACCCTCACCTACTCCAGCTGAGGAATCATACACCTTCTTCCAGAGCTAATGAGCCCCACCTGGCCAGCTAGGAACTGAGCTGTGGACCCTTGCCTAAGGTGGCAAACAAAGAAAAGAAAATCAGGACAATACAAATTGAAAACAAAGCAGTTTAACAACAACAACAACAATATAATTTATTATTTGTACCCCGCCCATCTGGTTGGCTTCCCCAGCCACTCTGGGCGGCTTCCAAACAAAGATTAAAAATACATTAAAATGTCACACATTGAAAACTTCCCTAAACAGGGCTGCCTTCAGATCTCTTCTAAAGTTGTGTATCTCTTTGACATCTGATGGGAGGGTGTTCCACAGGGTGGGTATATTGTAAGTAATATTCATTATAAATAATATGACTTATTATTTTTTTAAAATTAAAAACACACTACAGTGTCCCCATCTTCAAGAGGCAGGATGGCTGCCGCTGGCTCAGAGGGATTCCTTGACATCAAAATGGATGCAATTTCCCTGAGGGAAGGAAGTTTAGGAACCACAGGACAAAGGCAATTTAATTCATCTAGGCACAAGACAGGCACGTTACTGCCTCTCCTCACCAGCTGACAAATGGGTTTATCTGCTGGACATTAAGGTACTTCAGACGGGTAGATTATTTTTCTTCTGAAAAAGAACAGCGGGGCTTCTTTCTGAGGGAACAGGCATAGGATTGTAATTGGTTTGCAGCTTTTCTTCGTTCCGGTTTTATTCCCTTCTCCTCAACTCTGACATAGTCTCTTTCTGTTCCCTCTCTGACGCCTACTGTCTCAAACTTTATTAGTAAGTGTGGTCAGGGATTTGGTATGAATTGTCTTCACATTTTCATGCCTAGTGCACGTTAAGTGCTCTGGAAATAATGATGTATTGTTATGCTCTCTCAGCCACACGAAAAGATAGTTCAGGATTTTTATGCCTTTAGCAGTTTAAAGGCTTCTTCCATATGATATAATAGGAAGCCAAGATTATAGGTGATGCAGCCTGTACTAGCTGTGATGTTCACAGGTCCCTGAAGCCACAATTATAGATGGTACAGCCTGTACGCAATAAAAAATTAACTGGTCCCTAAGCCTTGTTATTCATGACTATCATAAGTTCATTTCCTTTCAATGAGTCTTGTCAAAATAACTTTAGTTAACTGGGACATCAAGAAGAAAAAAGTCCATGCAACCTCGTACAGGAAACTTGTGGCAGACCCTCTAAGTGTCCCTATTTTCCAGGGACAGCCCCAGATATACAGAAGCCATCCCGGTTTCTGATTTGATTCCAGATTGTTCCGATTTTCCTTAGAATGTCCCTATCTTCATTGGAGAAATGTTGGAGGGTTTGGAGTTACGGTATGTGACCTCCAAGCCAAGGAGATAAGTAACTATACAGCCTTTAGAAGACATCTGAAGGCAGCCCTGTATAGGGAAGTTTTTTAGAAGAAGAAGAAGAAGAAGAAGAAGAAGAAGAAGAAGAGTTTGGATTTGATATCCCGCTTTATCACTACCCGAAGGAGTCTCAAAGCGGCTAACATTCTCCTTTCCCTTCCTCCCCCTACAACAAACACTCTGTGAGGTGAGTGGGGCTGAGAGACTTCAGAAAAGTGTGACTGGCCCAAGGTCACCCAGCAGCTGCATGTGGAGGTGCGGGGAAGCGAACCCGGTTCACCAGATTCGGTCCCTTTTAATGTTTCATTATGTTTTTATATATGTTGGAAGCTGCCTAGAGTGCCTGCGACAACCCAGTCAGACAGATGGGGTATTAATAATAATAATAATAATAATAATAATGGAATAGAACATCCCTATTGTTATGTAGTGAGTTGAATAGGATCCAAAATGCAGCAGTCTGATTGGTCCTAGAACAAAAGGATCCAGAATGCAGCAGTCTGATTGGTCCACAGGAGCCACCCAATCCAACTCCAGGTGGAAGTGAATCCGCAACCTGATTGGCCTACAGGAGAATCCTGGAATTAGCCAATCATGTGGGGCCCAGTGTGTAAATAATGTATATAAAGCAGACATTTCGGGGGAATTGGCATTCCTCACTACTATGAGCTGAATAAAGAGCATGAAATCCACACTTGACTCCCGAGTATACTTCACCTATTTTCATCAGACAAATGTTGATGGGTATGCTGTGTTTCTCCGTTGTGTTGGACTTGAACTCCTATCATACATAATCACTGGCCATGCTGACTTGGACCGATAGGAGTTGGAGTCCAACAACATCTGCAGAAACACAGCATACCTCTGGCTTAGTGTCTGGGAAAAATTAGCTCCACTGCAGAGCCAATTCCGGTCCTTTCATCTATGACAGAGAGGATCTCTGAGCAAAGCGCAGAGTCCCTCTCCAGTAATCAGAGCTGTAAGACCAGGCAACCAGGCTGGAGAAAACTCAAAGGAAGCTTTTCTCCACATGTCCTCTAAAGAAGGAATGGAGAAATCTGTTCATTTTTGTTTCTCTCCATTGCTCATTTTCCCAGTCAGTTCACCACAGATCCATGATTTTGTGATTTTTAATTTTTTCTAAAGTCCTCATGAAAAGTCATCAGCATTTAAGTGTGCAATATACCTGAAGGAGTGTCTCCATCCCCTTTTTCCAGCCCAGACACTGAGGTCCAGCTCTGAGGGCCTTCTAGCGGTTCCCTCACTGTAAGAAGTGAAGTTACAGGGAACCAGGCCTTCTCAGTAGTGGTGCCTGCCCCGTGTAACATCCTCTGACTTGTAGAAGGCAGCCCTGTATAGGGAAGTTTTTAATGCTTGATGTTTCATGGTGTTTTTATATTTTGCTGGAAGCCGCCCTGAGAGGCTGGGGCAACACAGATGGGTGGCAAATAAATAATAAAGCAGTAGTTAGTCTCCTAATACACACATTTTTGCAAGCAATTTCTCCGGAATATAATGAATTGGTGTATCTTACTTTCACTAATTCAGTTACTTTCACTCTAATTGTGGTCCATAAATAGTGGTTGCGTGTCGAAGACCCCCAAGACACCCCCGAATAAAAACATGGTTCAAAGATCATTTTTGTTTTGGTTTTTGGCATAATTTTGGCCACAACTTTATTGAATTACAGTATGTGAGTGGTTGCTTAGGCATTGGTTAACAACTATCTGTTCCCACTTGGAGGTAGGAACAGAACTGACAACCGCACCCCTGCGGAAGTCAGTAAGGGTAAACAATTTTGGGGAGAGATTAAAGCTGGGCGCCAGGCTCTCACCTCTCCCCAAATGCTCCCAGGGGCTCTTGCGTGGCCCTAGCCCTTTGCCAGGGAGTCAGACAAAAGCATGGCAAGCCCCCGGGGTTCCTTTAACGGAATACCCTTGCAGCAGCAGCATTGGAGGGGCAGGCACAGCCAACCACATCCCCTCCACCAACCAAAAATTAACCAATGCCTAACTGCAACCTTACAAGTTGTGCCGATTTGCTATGCAGTAGGCAAAACCCAAATGGCACCAGCCAATCAGCCAAATGGTAAAATTCCTACCAGGCCCCTGCCCCAAGAGCAGACAACCCCATGACAGGCATAGCAAGGTCAGCATGAACAAACCCTAAATAAAGGGAGGGTGGGCGGGTAATCTGATGTGCGCAGCGAAAAGAGGAAGCTCAACGCTGCACACAGGGAACATATATAGCACCCCCATCAATCAAATAAAATTGCAACAATAACTTTTCCCCAGCAACAATGAAAGGTGTCCAATCAAATTTGTGGCCATCCAAACAAACCTGCCCAGCAACAGGGGGTATTGTGGTTGCTCCCACCACAACACGTGTTCTCCATGAAGGAGAACCCGCTTTGCTGGAAACCATAGAAGTGGAGATTGTTGTTGTGCTCAGATCTTGCTTATGAACTTCCCATAGGCATCTGGTGGGCTACTGTGAAAACGGGGTGCAGGACCAGATGGGCCACTGGCCTGGTCCAGCAGAACCTTCTTATTTTTTTTATGGTCCAGCAGAACCTTCTTATATTCTTTTAATCACATGCAACTAAGCACAACCCACACCATATTAGGGTCAATGTCTCTGGTGAGCCTGTGGCAGAGATGGGCAAGTCACCCTATTCTCAGTCCACATCCGTTTTCAACTTGTTCTTTGTTCCTCAAAATCTTGCTTCCTGCATTTCAAAAACCAGTTGGCGCAATGGAAAATCCCCTGACTCTCTTGGTTTATGTTTGTTGAATGGGGTTTAAGAATAACCAACTCTTATCTGTGGAAGGGTTGATAACTAAGCATAAGTTTGAAAGATTCCTTTCACCCTTGAAACCCCATGATGATACTTCAGCATCACTCTTTGTGACCTTTCTCTTCTGATTCATTCAATACCACCAGAAACCCATCAGGCAGAAGTTCTGGCTTGGCTTAGTAGCCAAGCTTCTATATGTGGTCAGTTCTGACCCCCTTCCTTTCCTGAGTCATCTGCATTCACATGTGAGTCCAAGCATTGGCCAGATGACTGAGAGGTAGCGGCTGCTGGCAAGCAGGCAAGTGAATTCATGGAATCTGGACTATTGTTTCAAAATTACTTGGCATGACCTTCCAAAGAACTGGGTCAAGCTGGGAACACATGACTTTTGCAACCCTAAATTTCGGGTTGGCAGCTGCATGCGATGTGGGGAATCCATACCCTTTGCAAAATTTTCATTGCACAAGTCTTCAAAAGTCTCATCTGTAGCAACAAGGTGGGCAAGCGACCAAAGGCGAGATGCTGTATCACCGTGAACTCACACGGGGAAATTATTAACACGGAAAATAAAGGGCACAGAACAAAAAGATCACCAGTGACAAATCACTCAAACGAGGGTAAGTGTAAGTTAGGGATGCATCTACTCCAAATAACCCCCTGGTTTCAATTCTGCTTCAAAAGTAGCACATTTGTTGCTGGTGAACAAGGTATTGCAAAGAAAAAAGCCATAAAATATTTGTATTATATTGATGCTGCTCAACATCCCATCTTCCCCTGGTCTGCTGTTGCTTCTCTGCTGTTTTTGTTCTTCGCTCTCAGTTCCTCAGCTGTTTCAAGTCTATTTGGCTGCATAAATCTGTTAGGCTGCATTCACATGACAGATTATTCCTGAT